CCTAAGTCAATTAACACTAAAAAAATCACAACTCGATTGCGCCACTCCCCGGCAACGGCGCCAAAATTTGACCGCGCGTCGCGACGCGGCAAATTTAAATTTATAAAGTTTTCCTTGACTAACCTCTACTAACTAGTAGTAGTGGCGAGTAAGGGTCGATCCCACGAGGAGTAGGAATTAAGTCGTGAAAATTTTCGTATTAATCGAACTAAATCTAAGAAAGCGAGTAAATGGGGGGGGATTGGTTTGATAAAAATAAAAATAATAAAATAAATAAAAATTAAATAAATAAGAGAAGTCCAGTTTTCGGTTCAGTTATCACCCAATCTAAATTTACCGTTACTCAATTTCGACGCCTTCTTTAAATTGCTATTGAATTACCGACCCTAGCTAACAACAAGCTCTGTTAACCGAATTTTCCCTTACTGAATATTTAATCGAAATAGGCTCTTCGACTAAATCTAACCAGTGGACAACCTAGAATAAAGCTCTCTAGATTTAATACACTAGCAGCATTAATCTCTAGAAAAATAGATCAGTCTAAGCAATGGACGCACAAGCTCGGACCATTTAACTTATGTTTACGCTACCCTAGGGATGCACGACCTCTAGTTTACTACTAACGAAACAAAGACAATAACAATTACGGATTAAAGTCTCGTCTCTAGCAATTAAACAATGAATATTCAACGAAGCTAGCCAAACTAAATCAAACATCATAATTCATAAACATTAAACATAGATAACGTGAATCAACTCATCAATAAAATAAATATGACGTCTCCATTAATCAACAATAAATTCAAATCCTTACATAGACAAATTCAAGTTAGGGTTCAAACATCCCCTAAAACTGGATAAAAATTGTAACCTAACATACTAATAAAAATAAATAAAAGATGAAAGAGAGAACAAAGATCTCCCTCGTGTGCGGGTGCGGCTTCCCTCCGCGTGTATAATCTTCTCTCTCAGCGGCTCTCTCTCTGCCCGGTCTAATATCTGTCTAGTGTCCTCCCACGTGAAAATAATTCCTCAGCCAATGTAGTCTCCGCAATGCACACAACTCTCAGCAAATAATTCTTCCTCCAAGTAACTTCACTTTTGCCAACTTCTCTCAATTGTGGGGCCTATGAGCTTTTCTATTCTCCAAATAAATTGCTTCCAACCCAAATTAATTCAAGCCATGCGGCCCCACTAATAGTCTTGCTGGACTTCTTTTAATACTTCGACATTGAGCCCAATTTCATGTATTGGGAGGCCTCGATTATTTGTGACGTGAACTATCGTCAACAGTTTCACGTCCACAAAATACTCCAATGAGCTGAAAATAAGCATAAAAATATCATTGTATATGAATTCATCCAAATAATAAATAGGACAAAAAAATATAAAAGTGCGAATAAATTAAGTGTACAAAACTACACTATTAAATAAATAAAACATGCACATTTTTCGACATATCAGTTTGCGTCGTGCAATTGCTGCGATTAGCTGTGGCGTGCGGCTGGGCGTGCAATTGCAACAATTGGCTACGACTGAGTTGTTCGGCTGTGGCCACAGCGTTGCTCGGGTGCTTCTACGGCACGGTGGTGCACGACGGTCGACATACATATCTCGACTA